ACATTAACGCCTCCCTGTATTTATAAAGTATTTTGTATACCTCAATGTTTACGCCCCCCCCCCCCCCCTCACCCCCACTGAGTGAAAATCAGGGGACCTGGAATGAAGAAATGATGGTCCTCATAAACCCTCCTCTCTCCTCTCCTCTCTCCTCTGAAAAGAAAGAAAATTGAGATATTTTTGTTCTTGTTTTTTAAAAAGTGAATAAATTTAACTTTCTTTCTCTGGATGTGTGACTGTGTCCATCTGTGTGTTTGTGAGCCAAAGGGAACACAGGGAGGAATCTGAAGTGGTGCTTTTCCACTGATGAGGAGCTAATTTATTGATGAGATAAAAAGAAGGTGGATTACCCACAATCCTTAGCGCAGCAGGTTTTCACCTGCAGAGGGCGCCACACGCCTCCTGTTAATGAAGTAGCAGCTCAAGGACCTTGTTTTATATCCAATGTCTATTTAACAGTAAAATATTAACATGTGACTTTGGCCGACTGGTCATGTGACCTCAATGACTGGAGGTTTGTACTTCCAGAAGAACAGGAGCCATTTTTATTATATTCTATTGTACGTACTGGAAATGGTTCTCTGCATTTAACCCGGGAGCAGTTAGGTGTTGCTCAGGAGCAGCCGGGGTTCAAACCGCCAACTCTGCGGTTTCCGCTGCGCCACGGCCTCCGAGGAAGAGAACGAAAACACTTTTATATTAGGGATCAACTTCTAACAGGCTGGATTTGAATAACCTCTCCTCCTTGACCTCCGTGCGAAAGGTCACGGGGTCAAAGGAGAGGTGGTTAGGAGAGTTGATGAGGAGTCAGGAAAAGACTAGACGGGGTTTAGGGATCCACGACTCCTCCACTGAGCTGCGTAGTTGTGATGGACGGAGACGGCGGTTGGGGACGTCGGTCTGCAGCGTCTCCGATGCGTCACGTCACGCAGACGACAAACAACCAGGTTCAGAGGAAACTTCGTTAACGTGAAGGAGATCACTTCACTCACAGGTTTGAATAACACGTCCCGTGAATACCCACAATGCCTCTCGCAGTCCTTCCATGTGACAGGGGACATCAGTTCAGTCCCCCAGGGTCCAGGTTTAAGGCCACAGGGGGATTCAGGCCACTGACTCCCAGAAAGTTCTTAAAGGACTCAAAATGTCCGACGGTGACAGAACTGAACACTCGGCTTTGATTTAGTGTTTTTTACTGTGAAAGGAGGATTCGATTTTAGTTAAAAGGAGGAAAGAGGAGATTTGGTGGTAAATACCTGCTCACTATTGTATCCATTCATAAATAAACCTGTTCACAAAAAACAACTAGTTAGGTAGAGTTTAACAAACCAGTGTCACTGAGGTCCTGATCCTCCATATGAATATGAACCATGTTATATTATATTTATTTATCCTCTGCGGCAAAGTGATCAAACTGCTTAAAAAACAGGCGTTCCTCCCAGAACAAAGACGTGCGTTAAACTGGGTCCTGAAGCAGGTTTCATAGCGGCGGATCCCCGGGGGAACCGAGCCCTGACATCTGGGTCACAGGACCTTTAACACCTCATTAGAGGAAGTGGGTCAGTGACGAGCAGGAGCAGAACCACACTGGGTTCATATTCCAGGACGAGGGTCCTGCAGGTTCTCCGACTCATGTAAGAAGCTCGTGTGATCGAACGTGAGTGAAAGAACACAGAGACGCAGACTGAGTCAGCAAGTGTGAGCCGACGCAACGTGTTGCGACAGCCCGCGTGAAGGAATGTCGGCCGGCTCGTAACCAGAGGAGCTCCAGGCGACCCCTTCACCCCCGGAGGTCCTGAGCCAACCGGTCGCTCTGCTGCGGTCACGTGGTCTTCTGTGATGTCATGAAGGTTCAAAGGAGGAATCTTCCCTCCCCCACGTGTCCGTTGTTAGCCACGTTAGCTCCTTGGACGGTTTCTCCTCCACGTCTGTTGTCTTATTCATTCAGATATTCGTGCTCCCCAGAGGACAGACCCTCCTCACGTTGTCACTAGTCGATATTCGCTCAAATCGTGTGGAAAAAAAAAAAACTGTGCGAAAGCCGTTCACATGAAGCGCTGTTGCTAATGCTGCTAACAAGCTAGCCGTAGTGTCACCCGTTGGCTTCCTCTCAATAATTCATTTCATTAGAGGATGAACGGGATGATGAACACGAGCAGCTGCTGCTACAAATGTTCTTTTCTTTGTGACTTTTGTGTTTCTGACGCGTTGAAACAAACTTTAAAGCCACGTTTTCCGCTCAGCTTTCGTCCGTCTGCAGGATGGAAACAGACACGAATGTTTTCCAGCTGAGGAATCTGCTTTTAATGAATATCAAGGGAAGTAACCTGTTGAATCAGCCAAGTGACATTATCAAGTCTTCTACGAGTAAAAGCGGACGTTTCCCACTGAGCTCCAAAGGTTTGAGAGGACTGCTTCATACGGACGGGGTTTAGGTTCTACACTAAGACCGGTTCACATGGCGGTTCAGGACTAAACTGAGCCTGCTTCACATAGAGGATCAGGACTGGGATTTGGTAGTATTTATTTTGTCTGTGTCACATTTCTTCTCTGTTTCTTGCATTCGTTTCTTTACAGGTGGCCGCCCACATGAAGAGGGTCCAGACCCCCTGGAAGGGGACCGGGGTGCTCCGGAAGTCCACCGTGAGCCCTCTGCAGTGACTTTCTCGTGTAACAAAGGAGCGTTGTGCGTTTCATAACACAACACATCTTCTGTGTGGTCTATTTTAATTTGGACCTTTCATTCTGGCCTTTCTCTGTTCTCAGAGGGAACAAATTGTCTTCCCACAATCCTCGAGTCTCACACTCCTGTAGCTGCTATTCGCCCGAGTGTTGGAGCTGTGGGTGGAGAGAGGAAGTCCAGAAGAAGGGACGCTAATGGGAACATTTCAGTGTGAAGATCGCAAACTGTCGTCTCACTTAAATGCGCTGATTCGCTTTCTTTCTTTTCGCTCCTCCTGAGAGTTGGATGAGGAGCGACGCGAAGCTCAGCACGAAGAAGAAAGACTCACGGCAGGAAAACGCTCTGCTGCATGTTTGTGAATCAAGTATTTTCAGTGTGAATAATGAAAACTGCAAATCCCTGTCATGATTTTCAGTGTGTCTCATTTGTTGTTTAGCGTTGCTGCATCCAGATGGAGGTCCTTCCTAAGTGAGCAGAAACGATAAAACACACAGCGTTAATCCTCCTGGAAACCACGCGTGTTATAAAGAAGCTGAATGACAACATTTGGTACTTTATTTGTAACTGAACCGCTTTCTTTTAAGTGACGTGCTTGTTGTGAACTGTTTGTTCCCTACAAAGACTTCTTCTATTCTCTCTGCTTCATGAGGAGTCGACAAGATGTTCATTATGTTACAAACTCCACTGACGTCTGTGAGGGAGGCTGACAGAGAAAGAGAGGCATTATGGGGGTTGGGGGGGGGGCAGGTTTAACCTGATCTGTAGCAAAGCGGGGGGGTTCTCTACTGTAAGTATGTCACACACGTTTGCTTTGCTCGTATTGTCCCTGAATCATCTCACTGTGCTCGACTCCCCTGAAAGGAAAGTATCTCCTCCCACCAAACGATGCAAAGGAAATAGAAATAAAATCTTTCATCTTTGATTGTTCTCCAAAAAAGACAGAAAGTGTGTGACAACACGGTGTGTAATATGAGCACCAAAATAATTACAGCCATGAAATGTAAATATTACTTAAATATGAGTTGCTAAATACATTTCCACATTGGCGTTTCACATGTTACGGCTTATCTGTCTTGAGGGCCTGGGACACAACGGGACTTTAAATCTTCAGTACACCACGAGCACAAAGATCCACCTTTGTTCCTACCCTCATCTGAGGTATTGAAGAATGGGTTGTGACCCAAAGAACTCGGTCCCAGGTGACTGGTGGGCTTCCTCTACCATCTCTATGCTGATGACACCCAACTGAGACACCGGTCGCTCAGATCTCTGTCTCGTTGACTGACATCTCCAACGGATGCCTGCACCCCCCCCGGACACTAATGAGAAGAGTGAACTTCAAAGAGTGACGAGTGAAAAAAGGTCTAACATTTTGTTTTTACTCGTTTTTGAGACAAAAGGTGAGACGATATGTCACCTCTGAAACAGTCCTTTGATTGATGAGCGTGAGATGCATGTAGTGGTAAATGTGATATGTTATAACATTGTTTTGTGCTAAAGCCGTGTCTCAAGTGTCCTGTATTTGACCCTGATGTGCAAAGAGCAGCACGATACAAAATGTTGCTTTGCAGCTGTGTCCTGAGAAGGGAGGACGGTCGACTCGAGCTCATAGACGCTTCAAAACAAAGGACTCCTGTTCATGGCCTTGGTTCATATCTTATTCGGTACAAAGTTCCGGATCCACGTTTTACTTTATGTCAATTAATAATGATTTGCACCGGCCACTGAGGAGGATCTTGTGTGTGTGTGTGTGTTATCCTCAGCTTCACCTGGGTTCTTATCTCAACCTGCTTTGTAGCTTCTCGTAACTGGCACGGAGAATGTCCTTCACATGTGTATAAAACTCAGCGTTTTCACTGCTCGGAGACGCCATTACGCCGAGCGCTGAGATACGTGCTGGTGTGTTGGACCTCCTGCTTGCAGGCAATAGTTAGAGCCAGAGATCTGCGGAGAATTGCTCATGTAACCTTTTTCTCTTCTAAATAAATGTTAACTTTTTGACTTTAATTGATCAACGTGCTGCGATTCTTCTCATCAACCAACTCGGGGGGATCGGAGATCCTGACATGAGCTAAAAAATGAATGAATATCCATCCATCCATCCATTGTCAGACCGCTTATCCTGCACACAGGGTCGCGGGGGGGGGCTGGAGTCCATCCCAGCCATGAATGAATACAAATTACTAAATACATCTACAGATTGGATTTCTAGATTTTGTAGCTTCGCTGTCTTCAGTTAAGTCAGATATATTTGCCAAAGCGCTAATCATGTGGACTTTGGACCCAATGGGACTTTAAGACAGAACACGCCTCACTTTCCAGAGACCTGGTTTTATGTGAGGGAGAGGACGCATTTAGTTTCATTGCCCTCTGACTTCCTGGTTTATCAGACGGGTTGCTGTGGTACATTTGCACGTAGTTTGAGGCTCGAGTAGAAAACATGGGCTCTGGAGGCTCCTGTGAATACTCACGAGAGGAATACGACAGCTATGCCCTCAAGCTTTATGAAATAGCCTCTGAGGATTCATCCCTCTTACCAGATGTAGGCCTAGATGGGTCTCTGCTGAAGTATTCTGGTTTGAAGTCCAACGCTGAGCTGCGGAGCTATTCTGATGGTCTGGTCAAACAGGTTCCAGATCTCGTCAAGAAGTTGGGATCTATTTTGGGTTCCTACACTGGATTCACAAATGCTGTTGGACTCGGAGCATTGATGATTGCCATGATCATAGATATAGGCATGAAGAACCTCTCTGCAACGTCTGATGGGTTCCTGAAAGCATTTGGTGAAGAGAAGGCCTCAGGAGTCCGGGACACTGTGTCGGAGTATGTGAAGCGCCATCAGATGTACCTGACTGATAACCGACACCTACAGGGTGAACTAGAGAGACTGGAGAGACAGCTGAGCAACCATCTCACCATCCTCAGAAACTCCCTGCTGCTTGACGGACAGATGAGGAGCCGTGGGTTGAAGATCTGGGTGAACGGAGCCTCCTTCCACGTCCAGATGTTGATCCATGAGGCTCGACTGAATCGGAAGACTGGCATCAGTTCAAAGGACTATGTTCATGTCATCCAACGGGCCCTCACTACGTATCTACAGGACCTGGATCAGCTGCTGGAGAAACACAGGGCTCAGCTAGTCAAAAATACTTATTTCTATTATTGTCCAAAGTGCTGTGGAACAGCGTGCTGTGGACAATGGCTTCCATGTATAACTCGTGTCATGAGCTATAGGAAGGATCCATGTGCTTACGGTCGTAAACTGTACGTCTCTGATAGACCTGGATTGTTAGATTCTTATATGAATCAGGTTTTCTCTAAATTTAAACCACTTTCCGGTTTAAAGAGTCACTTTTCAGACATCAAGACCAACCTCAAACATCACATCGACCAACACGAGTCATTCACTCTGCCGTCTGCTTGATAGTCTAGTCCCATTCCGCTGGTGGACAAGTGATAAGCTAATGAAAAGAAGAGGAACACGTTTAATCCTTTTGAAAAACAAATTGTTTGTTTTATCGAATTGAAAACTGATTTGATTGAATGAATCATGATCTTTTGTGATTTGACGAATTAACTAAACAGTGTGCAGCTTTTCAGTGAATTAACTTACATTTCATTTAAATCTATAGATGTTGCATTCAAATCCTCTATTCAAAACATAAATGTTGTTTTTTATTCCTTAATGTAAGTTTCTTGATTTGATGTGACGAATGATTTTTTGTAATGTAATGATGAGTATTTGTAATTTTGTTTCAATGAAAGATACACATTTGCCATTGCATGACTTTTCTTAAGGAAGAAGCTAAATTTAACTCTATAAAGACTGTCGTCCTAAAGCACTAGAAACCTGTCAATCACAGTAAGCCCCGCCCTAAAGCATCCCCTGCTAGAGAACTGGGACTGAGACCATAAACTCATGTTTATAACTTTAGTTTGTGATTTGGAATGCATGACTTTTACTTGTAAATACTACATGATTTATGTATTCCTGCTTTTTCCTGAATAGTAGAACATAATTTTACTTCCTGTCATTTATAGTATCATGACTTAATTAATGCGTATCAGTGGTTTCCATTATGACACCACAAGTAACAATTACACCTGCCATCAGGAAGTCATCGAGGTCCCTCCTAATAAGGGCATTCATGCATTCATCCTGCTGTTCTGAAACAGTTTGATTGACGCTGAAGAAGTCGAGATCTCGTGAAAGCGGTTTGTTTGTGGGGGGCGTTTGTTCTCATGCAGCGTGGAAACAGAGAAGCTCAGACACACCCACCTGCTTACTGCCCCCCCGTCTCCTCCATGGGAATGAACTTGTAAACTCTTAACGTTCTGGTGGCCTTGTATCATATTATTTGATACATTCATGGATTCTGGACGCTGTTCTTTACGTGATCTCTTTTTTATAAAGATCATTTTCAGGTTCCCCATCATATTATTATAATGTGAACTAATAACAGAAGTGTGGTGGAGTTCAGTTTGTTATTGAGCAGCAGGACGACAATGACAATCATCTAAAGAATAATAATAATATATTACTGCTTCAGCCTCCATGTGAGCATGTGTTCTACAATCAAAGGGCTTTTGATTTGACCTCTGACCCTCTTTATTTGACCTTTATTCTGAAAGGTAACATGCCTGCAGAGACAGGCGGTGTGTGTAGGGAGCAAATGGATCACTTTTATAATTTTGAGTGTTTATTGCTGACAGGGGTATTTGTGTGTTTGGTGCACTGCTCGTGCTGGAGGAAAAAAAGACATTTGTGCGTCCACGTTTACATCAACGAAAATGATCTTTCATAGATGCTCCGCTTGAGAGAGCTGACGGAATCTTATTGATGAAGGAATTGTTGTGGACTTCCGGTCATTAGCTGGCGAAAACTGTGTGCAATACGACCACCGGAACACCGACAGCTATCAAATGTAAAATCACATGAAGATCCATCCATCCATTGTCAAACCGCTTATCCTGCACACAGGGTCGCGGGGGGGCTGGAGTCCATCCCAGCCAACTTCGGGCGATAGACAGGGTACACCCTGGATTGGTCGCCAGCCAATCGCAGGACTACACAGAGACACACAACCATTCACACTCACATTCACGCATCTACGGGCAATTTAGAGTCACCATCAACCTGATCCCGAGAGCATGTCTTTGGACGGTGGGAGGAAGCCGGAGAACCCGGAGAGAACCCACGCAGACACGGGGAGAACATGCAGACTCCACACAGAAAGGCCACTGGGTGGAATCGAACCCAGGACCTTCTTGCTGTGAGGCAACAGTGCTAACCACCACGCCACCGTGCCGCCCTGTTCACATGAAGATAAATGAATAAATACATCTACAGATTGGATTTTAGATGTTGTGGCTTCTCTGTCTTTAGTTGAGGTAAATATTTGCTAAAGCGCTAAACATCTGGACTTTGGACTCACTGGGACTTTAAGACAGCACGCCTCACTTTCTAGAGACCTGGTTGCTTGTTGGTGCCGCCAACAGAACCAGCAGGGGCCTTTCTAGACCCCTGGGGGCTCTAGGCAAGAAGGACCATGGGGCCCCCCAGAATCATGATAAATGAATCAGGAATCAGGAAACATTTATTGCCAAAATATGTCAATCATACAAGGAATTTGTCTTGGCGATTGGTGCGTCCAGGACTACGGATCAGTAAAGAAATGTTTTACTAAACAATTAACATATTAAATAAATAATCAATAACATAACTATTTGAATGCAAACGTTACACACAACATATAAATAACAGAAAAACAAACAGAACTGAAATGTGCAAAATATTCAGAATGATAAAAAACGCAACAAAGCAGAAAAAACAAACAAACAAGGAATTGAAGTGGAAAGGAAGAACTTAAGACTTGCTGTGACACCTGGGTCCTATTCCCACAGTCCAGTAGTGCCTTTTTTACTTAAAGTGCTGCTTGCCTCGGCTTCTGCAAACGCAGCCACTATGTCGTCCACATCTAAGGACCTCAGAACATCTCTTCCTATTGAGATCAGTGGCAGTGCTGTGAGCCTCTCCTCAACCTCAAATAGGGTTTGGTCAACTTCAAATGTGGCAAGGCCTACAGCACATCACCGACTACAGGACCACCACCAGCTCCATCAGCGCCACAGACAGCCTAGCGGAGGACCTCAACGCCTTCTACACCCGCTTCGAGACCTCCAGCTCCAGCACAGAGAGGAACACACCGGGATCACCCAACGGCAGGCCTCAGTCTGTCAGGATTGGAAACAGGACTTCAGCCAGCATCTTCACCCCACAGGGTTGTGTCCTCAGCCCCGTCCTCTACACCCTGTTCACCCACGACTGTGTCGCCTCCCACGAGGACAACATCGTCCTGAAGTTTGCTGATGGCGCCGCAGTGATGGGACGCATCACTGGGGGGAACGAAGCGGCATACAGGAGGGAGGTGGCCAGCTTGGTGTCATGGTGCGAGGACAACAACCTCACCCTCAACACTGACAAGACCAAGGAGCTGATAGTGGACATGAGGAAGGAGAGGAGATCTCATCAACCACTTTTCATCCAGGAGCTTGAAGTTAAGAGGGTGAGCAGCTTCAGATACCTCGGGGTCCACTTCAGTGAGGACCTCACCTGGACACTCAACACAACACAGCTGGTCAAGAAGGCTCAACAGCGGCTGTACTTCCTGAGGAGGCTGAGGAAGTTTGGGATGTCTCCCAAGATCCTCAGCAACTTCTACAGCTGCATCATGGAGAGCATATCGACCAGCTGCATCACCGTGTGGTACGGCAGCACATCCACCATGGACCGCAGAGAGAGGTGAGGACAGCAGAAAAGATCACCAAGACCCCACTGCCCTCTCTGCAGAGCATCTACCACCGCAGGGTTCACAGGAGAGCTGCCTCCATTCTCAAAGACCCCACCCACCCTCAACACGGTCTGTTCACGCTTCTGCCCTCAGGCAGGAGGTACAGAAGTGCCAAATGCAGGACCACCAGACTGAAAAACTCTTTTTCCCCACTGCCATTAGAGGCATCAACAGCTGAGAGGACTCTATAACCTGACTTACAACTGCTCTGCACTGAAATTCTAAATCCTCTGCCTGAATGTTATGCATTGTTTGCTCCAAGTTCTTGCACGAAGCTCAGAAACATGTGGACTTTGCAGCAGCTTGCTCACAAGGTGAACCTGGAACGAGCCCAGAGAGATGTGTGCGCTTCATTTGTTCATCTGTGTGTTTGACCGGGACCGCGGCGGCTAGTGAGGGGCCCCATTAGGGAGATTCCCGACGTGTCATTGCGGTGTCTACGGGGGTTTCAGGTTGTGTCGCTGATATGGAGCGATATCAGCCGCCTGTCGGTGGCCCCTACTAGCAGCTAGCCAGTGACATAAAGGGGCCCCGCATGGGGTCTTTCCGATGCGTTGCCGTTGCAGCGTCCAAAGCAGTTCCATTATTTTGTCATTGACGTCAGCCGTCCCTCGGGGCCCCCTTCAGCTCGGGGCCCTAGGCAATTGCCTGGGTTTCCTGCCCCGTTGAGGCCTCTGGTTGGGGGAGTCACCCTGGTTTTATGTGAGGGAGAGGACACATTTAGTTTCATTGCCCTCTGACTTCCTGGTTTATCAGACGGGTTGCTGTGGTACATTTGCACGTAGTTTGAGGCTCGAGTAGAAAACATGGGCTCTGGAGGCTCCTGTGAATACTCACGAGAGGAATACGACAGCTATGCCCTCAAGCTTTATGAAATAGCCTCTGAGGATTCATCCCTCTTACCAGATGTAGGCCTAGATGGGTCTCTGCTGAAGTATTCTGGTTTGAAGTCCAACGCTGAGCTGCGGAGCTATTCTGATGGTCTGGTCAAACAGGTTCCAGATCTCGTCAAGAAGTTGGGATCTATTTTGGGTTCCTACACTGGATTCACAAATGCTGTTGGACTCGGAGCATTGATGATTGCCATGATCATAGATATAGGCATGAAGAGCTTCTCTGCAACGTCTGATGGGTTCCTGAAAGCATTTGGTGAAGAGAAGGCCTCAGGAGTCCGGGACACTGTGTCGGAGTATGTGAAGCGCCATCAGATGTACCTGACTGATAACCGACACCTACAGGGTGAACTAGAGAGACTGGAGAGACAGCTGAGCAACCATCTCACCATCCTCAGAAACTCCCTGCTGCTTGACGGACAGATGAGGAGCCGTGGGTTGAAGATCTGGGTGAACGGAGCCTCCTTCCACGTCCAGATGTTGATCCATGAGGCTCGACTGAATCACACGACTGGCATCAGTTCAAAGGACTATGTTCATGTCATCCAAGCTGCCCTCACTACGTATCTACAGGACCTGGATCAGCTGCTGGAGAAACACAGGGCTCAGCTAGTCAAAAATACTTATTTCTATTATTGTCCAAAGTGCTGTGGAACAGCGTGCTGTGGACAATGGCTTCCATGTATAACTCGTGTCATGAGCTATAGGAAGGATCCATGTGCTTACGGTCGTAAACTGTACGTCTCTGATAGACCTGGATTGTTAGATTCTTATATGAATCAGGTTTTCTCTAAATTTAAACCACTTTCCGGTTTAAAGAGTCACTTTTCAGACATCAAGACCAACCTCAAACATCACATCAACCAACACGAGTCATTCACTCTGCCGTCTGCTTGATAGTCTAGTCCCATTCCGCTGGTGGTGTGAGATGTACTATGTATTCACTTTAGCTAAAGCTTATATGCTGATTTCAGAGGACAAGCGCTCAGTAACAGGAGACAGAGTGTCAAACAGGATGTCTTGACCTCGGCTTGACCTACGGAGTAGACGATAGTGGGAGAACCTGAGGGGCGAAACCAGACATCCCCCATTGATTGACCTCGGCCGCCCGACGACAAAAACATCCTGGGTAACTTTGGGTAACTAGAACCAGTCTAAAGCGGGTTTTAGGGGAAGTAGCTCAGCCTTAATAGAACAGACTTTCCACCGGAAGATCGCACTCTTTTTGCACAGCTCGGGGCGCTTCAGAGACTCCAGATATATCTGGAGAGAATTGCTCATGTAATCGTTTTCTCTTCTTAATAAATGTAAAGGTTTTACTTTACTATAAGCGTGTCGTGATCCTTCTCATCAAACAACTCGGAGGGACAAGTGATAAGCTAATGGCAGTATGTTGCTCTTCTTTTTCTAAATGAATTGCTTGTTTATGGAATTGTAAACCGATATGATTGAGAAACAATATTAATGTGGTGTTTTGTGATTTGACGGATTAACAGTGCGCAGATTTTCAATAAATTTACTTATATGTTTTTATTAAATTGAAAACCTCCATTCAAAACATTAATGTTGTTTCTATTCCTTAATGTTTGTCAGTGTCTTTGCGTTTACAGACGATGATTCTTGTTACAGCCAATTGAACAAAAACAGTTTTTGGGGAGTATTTGTAATTTTGCTGTAGTTTTGCTCTAAATGGACCATTATCTACTAAATGAACATCATGCTGTGCTGAAGAAGACTTTAAACCAGAGACTGAGACCATAAACTCATTTCACTGGTTTGTAATTTGGAATGCAGGACATTTACTTACATAAAGACAACATTATTTATGTATTCCTGCTTTTTCTTGAATATAACACAATACTACTTCCTGTCATTTACACCGTCATGGCGATTCATGCACATTAGAGGGGACCACGAGTAACAATTACACCTGCAATCAGGAAGTCCCCGAGGTGCCTCCTGAGGACGGCCGGTACCATCATGCACCAGGGTGAGTTACAACAGCAACAAACCTGGTTCACAGCGGTTCTGCAGGAGGATCAGGACAAAAACTTGTACACAGAGTCAAAATACAAGTTTAGCAAGGCGGTGAGACGCTAAACGTCTGTACTCTGCTTCGGTCTGGAGAGGCCTGAACGGCTAGTCCTGTCCCACCTGAAGATCCTCACCGACCCCCTCCTGGACCCCCTGCAGTTCCCCTACAGAGCCAACAGGTCTGCAGACGATGCTGTCAACATCCTGCAGCATCAGCTCTGCAGAGAGGGTCTCTTGTTCGCTTCTAGGACCCTGAACCGAGCTTCTCCAGATTCATCATGAACAGAGCCGGTCCCCCTCTGACCGACGTCCCACCGCTCACTTTCTTCTCACCGCACGCGTCACTTCCACTTGTCACTTTCTGTTCGCTGGTGCACTTTATTTTGAATTTTTAAATATTTTTACCTTTAACTTTTATTCCTTTATTTTTAAGGTAACATATAGCCTTAAACTACTAACCCATCCATCCATCCATTGTCAAACCGCTTATCCTGCTCACAGGGTCGCGGGGGGGCTGGAGTCCATCCCAGCCAACTTCGGGCGATAGACAGGGTACATCCTGGATTGGTCGCCAGCCAATCGCAGGGCGACACAGAGACATACAACCATTCACACTCACACACCTACGGGCAATTTAAAGTCCCCAATTAACCTGATCCCCAGAGCATGTCTTTGGACTGTGGGAGGAAGCTGGAGAACCCGGAGAGAACCCACGCAGACACGGGGAGAACATGCAGACTCCACACAGAAAGGCCACTGGGCGGAATCGAACCCAGGACCTTCTTGCTGTGAGGCGACAGTGCTAACCACCACGCCACCGTGCCGCCCTACTAACCCATAGCATTATATTTTATTTTATTCCTCGTGCACTGCTGTCTATTGTCGCACTATCTGCTGTTACGCACCAACCGCCAAGTCAAATGTGACACATTATGGCACCAAATGTTTCCTGATTCCTAATAAGGCATTCATGCATTCATCCAGCCGATTCATAATTGAGTTTCTGTTTGATTGACGCTTAAATGCAGCGATCACGTGACGCCGTCTCGACGCTGAAACGGTTCAATGAAAGCTCAGACTGATACAACTGTCTTTAGTTCACGTGACCTATGACCCCGAGGGCAGTCTGCCTCCCATCAGCAATAAGACGATGATGTCATCAGCCGGTGAGTGCCCCCCCCCCCCCAGAGGTGTTTGCTGTGTGCACCTCCGCCCTGTTGGGTCAACATTTAGTCGCGCGCTAACGCGGATGTTTACGGACGTCAGTGTTTGTGTGGGGGGGCGTTTCCCTTCTGACGCGTTCTGTGCAAACAGAGAAGCTCAGACACGCCCACAGGAGATACACGAGACCCGCGTGTGTGACAAATAAATGAGCGATGATTATTGATTACTGAGACTCGGCACATCATTAGTTGAATAAAACTACACAGCGACACTCAAACGGGTGCTTTATTTTGAAAGGTCTAACCAGAAGTTGTTCATTCTGTCTGTTGTGACAACGGAAGGAGGAGGAGGAGGAGGAGGAAGAGGAGGAGGGAGCAGCATGTCTACCTTGGAGACCAATGACAGCACAGGTAACAACAGGTGAGCTGAAAACCCACACCTCTCGCACACGGTTACGCGCGCGCGCACGCACGCACGCACACACAAACACCTGTACACACACGCGCGCGGAGGGAAGAGGCGGCCGCGGAGCTGCAGAGTCTCCCGGGACCGGAGATCCTGTCCGACACACCGAGGAACCAGAGGCGCGGGGACCATTACCACGGGACTAAAGCCCCGGATGAACGGGTGGGGGACCTGGAGGGACTTTAGAGCTGAAGACACGTTTGGAAAAGGACGAGGACATTATCGACCCGATGGAGTTTATTTGTTTACCGTGTCTCCTTTTGTGCAATAATGTCCCCACGCAGCGTCCATAGCAGGAACTAGTTGTTGACCTCCTCGCAGCTACGGAACCATGATGAGCTCGGAGGACCGCGCCCGCCCCGCGGGCCCCAGGACCCGCTGGAGAAGCTCGCCTCCCGCCTGGAGGAGGAGAAGGAACCCGTGCCGCCAGCTGCCCTCGCTGGAGCTCAGCCACAACGAGCGGACGCGTCTGGCCACGGACCCGCTCCTGAGCTCGGGGAGCAGGAGTACCGGCGCGTCTGGCCGAGTACGAGAGCTCAACTTCCTGTCCCCCGCGGAGCTCCGCTACATCGCCGGCCAGGCGCCCAAGCCGGCCGCGGGAGGCGGCCCCACGGGAGGCGGCCCCGGTTGCTCCGGCGAGCGGGACTTCGGGGACGGAGACGCCGTGTCCGACCTCACCTCCGGGACCTACTTCCCGATGATGTCCGACGACGAGCCGCCGCTGCTGGAGCTCGGCTGGCCGGACTCCCCGGCGAGGTGCGGGCCGTCCGAGACGCAGATCTACTTCCAGAGGGACAAGTCCCACAACGTGAAGGACATCATCAGGGGCCTGATCAACAGGGCCAAGAAGGTCATTTTATTACTCATCACGTGGAGCCTTTCTGCTTCTGTAACGAGGTTCTAGTATTTATTTCTGTTTTATATGTGTTGTAAAATAACTTATTCCTCAAACTACATTTAATGATCAGAGACAACGTCTCTTCTCTCTAAAGACCCTTTGCAGTAAAAAGAACAATAGCAGATCAATAGTGATATTAGGGGTCGCAGGTTATGCTGGTTTCTACGTTAAATAAGCTTCTTCCATTATTTATCATCGCAATAAACCACATCAGATCTCAAATAAACACACTTGGCCGTCTGCAAAACCTTTAAGCTTTCGGTTGAATAGTGGGACGATAATCTGAGGATGGGTGACATGATGGTCACATGATTGAATCGGAGGCGAGGAAATAGAAAACATTACACAAAGACCAAAGAAGAAGAGGGCGGCATTGGAAATGCATCGTAGAGACGTCGTCAGTTTAACTTTGAAATGGAAATATTTGCATGTTCACGTTCATGCTGACAAACTGGTTTCACTGCTCGTCTCTCTGCACACCGAGGACATGACATGCAAAAGTTGTTGTTGTGTCAGTCTCTTTGTAGTCCTTTCATGTCTCTGTAGCTTTGTGTGTCTCTGCAGTTGTTGTCCCCTTTGCTCGGCATCGTGGTTGTGTTTGTCTCTGTTGTGTCTTGTTGTGTTCGTCTCTCTCGATAGATTCTGAGGTTGTTTGGTGACGTTTCTTCCCTCTGACCCCGCGGAGTAATGTTCATACCGTGGGACATGTTGCCCCTCTCCGGGGTAACGGCAGCAGCCGCGCGTCCGTCCCCTCGTCCTGCATCACGTGTGTCTCTCACGTGTTGGTGCAGAGTCACTTTGTTGCTCTTATCTCAGGCTCCTCTTGCTGGATTACAACAGTAAAGCAGCTGCTGCCACATTGAAGCAGCTTTGAATGTTGCTGCTGTATAAAGGAGACTTATCTCATTACGCACGACTCCGCTGACTCCCACAACAAAGCCTCCATTCACACGACATTCCCCCTTTATGTGATGGAGAAGCTCCGCCTCCCACGTCCCACGTCGCTGCGCCTGAAGACCTGTCAATCATTTGAAGTGTGCGTTACTCATTTCCACGTGCATGAAGCCAGCAGGCATCGATACGTCTGTACATGCAGTGTGTGTGTGTGTGTGTGTGTGTGTGTGTGTGTGTGTGTGTGTGTGTGTGTGTGTGTGTGTGTGTGTGTGTCTTCACTCCTTTTTAAACCGAGTTTAATTGTTCTTCTGGGGAGTTTTAGTGTAAAGTGTGCACGCTTTGCATGATGGGAACTTGTGGCGCTCTTCAGCGGCTCAGGAGCGAACCGTCCTAACGGGACCCAGAACAAGTCCAACGAGTCAAACAGGATCTATAATAATCTCTGAGCCGTAACTCGGAGGTTAGATGAGCGTATCGGTGTCGCAGCTTTTCACTCAAATTGTGTCTTTTGTGGACGTTTTTGTTTCTTTGTGGACTTTCTGTCTCCTCACCTGGAGCTCCCTGCTGGCTGATGATGTCATCACCGGCCTCCCGTCATTCTAACTGGTTCACAATATTATTATTCCACTATTATTCCACTGCTTATTTTACTACCAGAGAACACGGAAATTGAGAATAGTTGTATGAGCACAGAAGTTGGATTGCAGTTTGGATTTAAGTGTTAACGTGTGTCTCCATGTGTGTCTCCATGTGTGTGTCCGTGTGTCAACGTGTGTGTCCATGTGTGTGTCCGTGCGTGTCCGTGCGTGCTGCAGGTGATCGCGCTGGTGATGGACGTCTTCACGGACGTGGACCTGCTGTGTGACCTCATGGAGGCCTCCAACAAGCGCAAAGTCCCCGTGTACATCCTGCTGGACGAGAAGAACCTGCAGCACTTCACTGACATGTGCTCGGCCCTCGACGTCCGCAGCGCCCACATGAGCGTGAGTGCTGCTGCCACCGTCACGCCACCGTCATGCCATCGCCTCACGCCATCGTCATGCCACCGTCATGCCATCGCCTCACGCCACTGAATTAGTCAACGACATTTGCCGAATCAGGAAAAAAAATGATGATGAATGAATATTAACGTTAACTATTTTTACCTTCCATTAATCTCCAGCTTGTAATAAAAATAATAATAATGATAAATAATAATAAATTCATGTGGCGTAAACGCCGGCGCTTCCTGCAGCTCAAATGATCGTGATGATCAAACGTCTAAAACCTCAAACTAAACGTCATAATGCTGCCAAATACTCAGTGTGTGTGTGTGTGTGTGTGTGTGTGTGTGTGTGTGTGTGCGTGTATGTGTGTGTGTGTCTGCGTGTGTCTGCGTGTGTGTGTCTGCGTGTGTAGAACATGAAGATCCCGCAGCACATGTGGTGACACTTACTGCACAAAGAGCGGCAAAAAGTTCACTGGTCAAGTGCTCGAGAAGTTCATGATCATCGACTGTGAGGAGGTCATGGCCGGGTCCTACAGGTGAGACACACACACACACACACACACACACACAGAGGAGGGGTGGGGGGGGGGGGGCAGCGACCCCTTTGAAGCTCATTTCTACGCTTTTATCTCTTTGCTGATCTATTTCTTTATTGGTTAAACAATTTATTCCCAAAATGATTTGTTTTATTTTGACGGTGTCGTTTTATTGTTGTTGACCTCACTGCTTCCTGTTATTTACTTATTACTATTATTATATTAATGAATGGATCTCCTCGTCCTATCAGCACCTCTGATCTATTAATGACTCTTGAATCATTTAGTCAATATCAATAGATCAATAGATGTCTTGATAAAACCGATGTCGCTCCGTCGAGCCCCCGAACACACGGACCCTCCTGGAGCTCACTGCCCCCCCCCCTCCTCTCCAGCTTCACCTGGCTGTCGGCTCAGGTGCACAGCAACATGGTGATGCACTTCTCCGGTCGCATCACCGACAGCTTCGACCGGGAGTTCCGCTGCCTGTACGCCGACTCGCAGCTCATCGACTGCTTCTACTGCCCGGAGGACGAGGGGGCGTCGTACTACCAGCCCTACCAGGCCGCCATGATGAGCCCCGGCGCCGCGGCGGGGCTGGACCTGCTCTCCGACAGGTACCGAGCCGGAGGCTTTGATCGCGTCCAACGTGGCCCCGTTTTCATAACCGATATGTGACGAGAGATGAAACAGGAACCAGTTCCTGCCGTAATATTCACATACAAGGAATTTGACTTGGCGGTTGGTGCGTGACAGACGACAGCAGTGTCAGATAAATATGATGCTATGGGTTAGTTTAAAATAAAGGAATAAAAGTTCAAGTTAAAAATTCAAAATAAAGTACACCAGCGAACAGAAAGTGACAAGTGAATTCTACATTAGAAGCAACTATGGATCTATGAATTTATGTAGAAATACAAAACTGCTACAAAACATTCGTCTGTCATGATGCCGACAGGAACACGTATGATAATGATCACAAACCTGTAAGGTGTCACCTTTCAGAACACGCTACAGAACGCTGTACAGACACATTTAGACAAGAGCGTTTATTTTATTTCCTCTTGCCTCCCCCCCCCCCAGCAGGCAGAGAGACTGGCGCTCCTCTGATAACTCCAGCAGCCCAATCGAGCAGCAGCGTTTCCAGCGTCAAGGGCTGCGCCCCGGGATGACCTCCAGCACCGTGTACAAGGTCACCCAAGGTCACGACAGCAAACCGCCCCCCAGCCCCCAGAGGAGGGGCTCGGGGCAAACGCCGACTCCTCAGAGCCACGTGACGCCGGGGCCGCGAGGTCCCGCCAACGGGGGAGCCAATCACAGCGCAGCTATGGACCGGCCGCCGCCCCCCTACGGCCATCCGCCCGGCGCCATGCGGCCCAACGCAGGCGCCCCCTCCTCCAAGTTCCAGGGGCTGGGGTGGTACGACCACATGTTCACCAGCTCCAACCCCAAAGCCCCGCCGCCCCCCCCCGCCCACGACGGCAGGCCGCCCCGCAGGCAGCGGTCCCCCTCCAACCTGTTCCTCAACAGACTCTCGGACCTCTTCCTGCCCCCCTCCAGCAAAGAGACCTTCCGCAGGTCCCCGTCCCCTCTCGGCACCCCGCCCTGGGGGGGGCCGGACCTCTCTCAGCCCGAGCCGGAGAGCCAGCAGAGCCCGCCCCCCCCGGCCGGCGCCGCTCTCCCCGACCGTGCCGATGAATCGGCAGGACCCAGAAGCGCATGACGCTGGGCCACAGCAAGCTGGACCTGGTGAACCAGTACAACCAGCTCAAGTCCAGGCAGGTGTACAGCCGCTTCGAGCTCAAGACCTCCAACTGAAGGCCGGTCTCTGCTTCTGCGCCCTCTGGGGTCAAAGGTCACTCACGAGGGAAAAGATAGAAACTGATCCGCGAAATTCACCGACAACCAAGACAAAGGCTTTTAATGAACTGGTGTCTTCTCAAAGTGGCACAACAACTCTTTTAGAAATCCAAAGTTATCACATGAAACTTTCAGTAATCGGTTCATCTGTCGGAGCTTCCAGCTGCCTCATCTTTTAGTTAACGTTCCCTCTTTTTGGCTCCTGCAGCAAACTTTTTAGGTTTAGGTTTCATTCAAAGGGACATTCGTTGGGACGGCGGCGCGACGGCGGCGCGACGGCGGCGTCCCTGCTGGTCAGTTAGCATTCGGCTCTCGTTGCTGCATCAGGAACCAACACATCGACCCCAAAGACACAGAAGTCACAGAAAGCTGAAGCTTTTCCTTAAATTAGGCTCATCTGCAAAGAAAGACGACAATTTTGCTGCATTTCGACTCAATAACAATTTGATGCTGTGGAGAAGAAAAGAGAAATTAATGATTTCTGAAAATAAATTCCAGTTTGGAGCATTGTGATACGTGTAAACCTTTTAAACGTTTTCCTCCTCTTTGTGTGTGTGATCGTTCCCGTCAGGACATCAGAGGGACGGACGCGTCTCCGGCTGTAAATGAGACATTTATGGTGAAAGTTTTAGCCTTTAGACACAGTTCAAACTAATAGTACTATTTGTCATGTTTTCTTTTGGGGATGAATCGTGTTGATATTTCAGAGGAATGTTTGTTATTTGAACGTGTTGTTGTTTACTTATTGTTAGCGGATATCGATCTTCATTATTCGCACTAATGTACAAAGCAGTGTACATAATACATGAAGTGAGGAATCTGGGTTGATGTTGAAGAAATTTTTGTAAAAAAAAAAAAAAGTTTATTTTTACAATGTGTTATATTACTGGAGAATGTGAACTTCCTGTTTAAAAGTCTGTCTTTATTTGGAAGATGAACACTTGAGGATTTAATAAAACAAAAGCTCTGTGGTTGAGATGTTGAATGAACGTTAATAAACCTCATGAAGATTGTTTCTCATATGAAGAATATGGCAACAAAGATGAAAAGAACTGGGGACGTTGTTGCATTCAGAATTCATTTTGACAGGTTTTTAATTTAGACTTGGCACCACTGGTCGACTGTCAATCAGCAGACTGGATCCAGCTGTGTACTCTACAATAAAAACAGCTGCAAATGCAAACTGCTCAAGAAGCTGAAAGAATTCCTGTTCTTTTTAAGCAGACCACAGACCTTCTGGTTGGTTCTTGTAGGTCAGTGAAGCAGAGACGACCACAGACCTTCTGGTTGGTTCTTGTAGGTCAGTGAAGCAGAGACGACCACAGACCTTCTGGTTGGTTCTTGTAGGTCAGTGAAGCAGAGACGACCACAGACCTTCTGGTTGGTTCTCGTAGGTCAGTGAAGCAGAGACGACCACAGACCTTCTGGTTGGTTCTCGTAGGTCAGTGAAGCAGAGACGACCACAGACCTTCTGGTTGGTTCTCATAGGTCAGTGAAGCAGAGACGACCACAGACCTTCTGGTTGGTTCTTGTAGGTCAGTGAAGCAGAGACGACCACAGACCTTCTGGTTGGTTCTCATAGGTCAGTGAAGCAGAGACGTGAGTCCGGCTCTTCAGCAGGAATAATGAATAATTTACAAATCAACTTTCCCAACTGAGCTGCTGTAACGTCTTTCCTGTCAGGAACCATGTGACGCCGATGACGTCATCACACAAATCCAGCCGTCACCCTCACAGCTGCCTGAAATATGTGATTCCTCTCTGAGTCCAACGCGGCCAACGTCCCGGTACCGGGGCGTAAGCTGTGAGAGCGGCCCGATCGGGGCGTTGCCGTGGTTACGGGTTCCCATTCATGGGGCAGAAGTGAACAGGTTCTCCGTTCACGAGATCCTTTCAAAGTAAAACGTGGCCTTGTTAGGAGCACAAACCAGTTGCAACCGTTTTCTCGGAAGTGATCTTTAAGGACCTTCAACCGATCGATTGAGACCAATGAGATGAACGCATGAAGCTGCTCTCTGTGTCCGTGGGGGGTTTGCAGGCCAGACGGGTAACTCAAGCTGCCCTCTCATGTTTCACACACGAGAGAGAGAGAGGAACTCCACAAAGATATTTCAACTCAGATCTCTGTGGCCTTCAGCACATCGCTCATTACCTCAAAGTCTCTTTCTTGAATTCGCACCAAACTGGAGCTGCTGTCATGGTTCATTGTTTCTGCTGTTAGCACCTGATGCTTGCACGATGTGGCTGCTCTATTAGCTGCACCTGCACATTGCAACGCCATGTCGCTGCGGCTAAATGCTTGATCACATCCGGACCCCCAACGGACCCCCAACGGACCCCTGACGGCGCTGTGGGCGTCACAGAGCAGCCTTTCCTGCCCCCACATTGTGGTTGTGGTGCATCCCGGTGTTATCTTCAGGATGCAGCGTTCTTCCTGCCTGTTGGAGCTATTTTCTGCTGGTGTGTTGATGCAGGATCAGATCACAACAGTGTTTGTGTGTGTGTTTGTGTGTGTGTCCTTGACGGTCTGTGTTTTGAAATGAGTTTGTCCCTTGACTCCTTGACCCCTCATGTTTTATGACTTCATCCACTGTGTGTGTGTGTGTGTGTGTGTGTGTGTGTGTGTGTGTGTGTGTGTGTGTGTGCGCAGCAGGAAGTCTGGTGTATGGTCCTCTCTGCATTCTGGGAGAGGTTTGTATTTTCTCACCGTTTAGTCCTTTAGTCCAAACACAATATCTCATGTTACAATTTTTAGCCCAGCAGACATTAAGTGAGCACAGGATTATAATTCTTATTTATTGTAGATTATTCAAAGCCGTTGTTGTTGCTGTTGAGCCACAGGCTCCGCCCACTCCATCAGGAGAGCGTTGAGGTCAGGTGATGAGGAGACGCACCTGGGGCTGATTTCCTCATCCGAGACTATAAAGCTCAGGCAGAGGACCAGACCAGGGGGGGGGGGGGGGCAGACTGGTAGAAGGTGGTCTGGTGGAAGGTGGTCTGGTGGAAGGGGCATGGTAGAAGGTGGTCTGGTGGAAGGTGGTCTGGTAGAAGGTGGTCTGGTGGAAGGTGGTCTGGTAGAAGGTGGTCTGGTGGAAGGGGCATGGTGGAAGGTGGTCTGTTGGAAGGGGCATGGTAGAAGGTGGTCTGGTGGAAGGGGCATGGTGGAAGGTGGTCTGGTAGAAGGTGGTCTGGTGGAAGGTGGTCTGGTGGAAGGTGGTCTGGTGGAAGGGGCATGGTAGAAGGTGGTCTGGTGGAAGGTGGTCTGGTAGAAGGGGGTCTGGTAGAAGGTGGTCTGGTGGAAGGTAGTCTGGTGGAAGGTGGTCTGGTGGAAGGGGCATGGTGGAAGGTGGTCTGGTGGAAGGCGGCATGGTGGAAGGTGGTCTGGTGGAAGGGGCATGGTGGAAGGTGGTCTGGTGAAAGATGGTCTGGTAGAAGGTGGTCTGGTGGAAGATGGTCTGGTGGAAGGGGCATGGTGGAAGGTGGTCTGGTGGAAGGGGGCATGGTGGAAGGGGCATGGTGGAAGGTGGTCTGGTGGAAGATGGTCTGGTAGAAGGGGCATGGTGGAAGGTGGTCTGGTGGAAGGGGCATGGTGGAAGGTGGTCTGGTGGAAGGGGCATGGTGGAAGATGGTCTGGTAGAAGGGGCATGGTGGAAGGTGGTCTGGTGGAAGATGGTCTGGTAGAAGGTGGTCTGGTGGAAGATGGTCTGGTAGAAGGGGCATGGTGGAAGGTGGTCTGGTGGAAGGGGCATGGTGGAAGGTGGTCTGGTGGAAGATGGTCTGGTAGAAGGTGGTCTGGATTAGACCTCGGGACTGAGCTACGCTGCGTTTGGGTTACATGTTTATATAAGAATAAGATGCATGTGAATTGATTCTGCTCTGTGATTATTTTCTGCCTCATCTTGTGTCTCCTGATCGTTTTGGTGGAAACACCTTCAGTCACAACCTTTGTTGGTGTCTGTTAACGTTTGGTTTAAACACTCATACACAGGTGTATAAATGACCTCTGCAGGACCAGGATGTCAGCACCTCTAAATGAGCCTGTTGGGAATCCTGCTATTATCATTACGCAGTGTACTGCTGTCCTGTTGTAATTGCGTTAAAACAGGAAACGATGCACTCAGCTGTATTTTCTCCACCAAACTGAAAAGCAACTCAATGTCTGGGAGGAAAGTCCAACACACATTTGCACACTCACACGTTATCTGACACACACACATTCGCCTGTGCACGCTGTCGTAAACCTCGAGTGGACGTTTGGTGTACGATGCCTTCTGCTATCGCTGCTGTGCTACCGAGCTTATCGACTCATCACGCTTACACACTCCCTCAATGACGGGGACGGGGACGTCGGCTGTGATCCGGTGAAGAGTCTCTTAGATTGTTGAGCGGCTCCACGTGCAGTCGGCTGAGTGTCTGTTAGTCGTGCTGCGAGTCAGCAGGGTTCCTGCTTTCTAACAGTCACTGACAAAAACTAGTACTGCCTTGTGCAATAAAACGTTGTGATGTGTTGAAGTTGCGCGTCTCTCTCACGCTGTTTGTTCCCATTTCACAAGATGGAATTCCTTCACACCGAGGGCTCAGCGCCGGTATGTCAGCTGAGGTGGAGTCTGAGTTTCAATCAAAACACACAGTGACAGACGCACAAAGGTCTTCTGCCGCCTACGTCTTCTCTCTGAACTTGGACCGGAATAACTTGTGTTTTGACCTCTAGATAAACTCTGGTATCGTCTCACTTAAGACTCAGTTTGGGAGGAAGCTTCTCTAAAGTGGCTTCACGCGGTCCGTTGGCCAAACTCACATTTGAAGGCCTGGTGTCCACAGAAGAACGTGGCCTCATTCCAAAGACCTGCAGCTTTCAACGGGAACACAAATCCAAAGCGAGCGCAGAGTCACTGTGCAAAGTCCAACTGGCAGAATGAGGCGTCTCTTTTGTTACACAGGAAGGAATTCAACACAAAGGGACGAAAGCAAACAGTGGCTGTCAGAGACAGACGGCCTGGAGGACAGAGACAGGGAGACAGACGGCCTGGAGGACAGAGACAGGGAGACAGAAGGCCTGGAGGACAAAGACAGGGAGACAGACGGCCTGGAGGACAGAGACAGAGAGACAGACGGCCTGGAGGACAGAGACAGAGAGACTGAAGGACAGATACAGAAGGCCTGGAGCAGAGAGACAGGGAGACAGACGGCCTGGAGGACAGAGACAGGGAGACATAAGGACAGAGACAGAGAGAGATACGGCCTGGAGGACAGAGACAGAGAGACAGACGGCCTGGAGGACAGAGACAGAGAGACAGACGGCCTGGAGGACAAAGACAGGGAGACAGAAGGCCTGGAGGCCCGAGACAGATCTGCTCCTAAAAGAGCGACGACTGCAGGGTCAAGGCTGCGGTGAAGATCCGGATCTGGGTCTGTCCCTGGTGGACTGGTCTCTGCTGAAGGTCTGATGGAGTCTGAGCTAAATGAGGCTCTGGTCAACCTCGTGATGTCATCTGGTTTCACCAGAACCCGCTGGATGATGTCATCAAAAAGAGCTGTGTAGAAACAGTCTTCTTACTGGTGGTCTCGTCTTCGTGGAGTCCTCATATTAAGCTTCAGCTCACCAAAGACGTGTTTTTATCCCACATGCTGCAGCGTGTGTCCCTCATAAGGCCTGTTTACAACCAACAGAGACACACAAACATCATCGGGGCTCCAGACTGCGACCAAATGGTCGCATTCTGCGCCTAAAATGAGACACAGTGCGAGTACATGTTTCATCGACCGCGACCAGTAAATTATCCGTTTGTTGTTTGGTTATTAAATGTTTGTGTTGCACACTTCAGCCCATTATAGTGAGCACGAGTGAGTCGAGCGAGCAAAGAGTGAAGAGGTGGAGCGAGCGCAGCAACGGCTGCCTGCGCGCAGAAAACCAGTTTGTGGAGAGGGAACCTGAGTAAACTGCGCGCACGGAATACGTTTTTCTTTGCTAAAATATAGTTCTCTGTGCTTAAAACTTAAAATTACGCGCTCAGGATTGTGGCACAAATATAACGCCATACACATTGTGCATGCGGGGAACCCGACATTAAGACTCACTACACAATTAAAACACAAACACAGGCACCAGGGGGGGATTGTTTGCAGGAAGTGTTAATGCACAAGTTATGTCCATAACTTGTTCTGTCGTCAGTAGAGCATAAATATTCATTTTGTATTTGTAAGCTGTATAACTGGTGTATGTTATTAAAACTATTGCACAAGTTTCTTATAAACTTATTTATCAGTAATACAGTAAAAATGGTGGGACGAGTCGATTTATAGCGTGCGCCCCTAAATGTTAAGTTAGGGGCCACTGTGCTCCCAGTGAGAAGAGTTAGTCTGGAGCCCTGATCATACATACGAAGCTGCATCTTGCAAAGGAATTGCAGGACTCGTGACAGAGAATGTCCCAACATGTGACTCGCAATGTCCACCTGTCCCCCGTCCGTCCCTCTGTCTCTGTTTGTCTGGTGCTTCGTCTTGTCTGTGGTGTTTTACAGTGAATGTGTTCCCAGATGAACACACCTCTAGTGGCTCAGAGGACGTGACAACCAATAAATGGACCTGAGCACCACATGTCCTGCGTCCCTCTGGAAGTCCTGGACATGCTTCAGGCTGAATCATCTCATGGTCACAGATTACAGATATTCAGTGTGGGGCGCTGGGTGGTGTAAGTGAATATGTGAACCACATGGTGGCAGCACGCTGATGGAGTTCACTTCACAAGAAGCTCCCTCCTCACAGCGCCGAGTGACTGTGAGTATCTGTACTACTTCCAGCTGAGTGACGCACCATCCAGTCACTGGATTCACTTCATTTATGTTGAACACATAGTAAGAATTTGACGCATAACGCCTCATCTGTAAATGGAAAAACATTTATCCTGTTAAACACGTCCACAAAGGGTTGAATGCACTTTGTATTTAATACATGAAAATGAAGAGAAATGATGCTGAACAATATGAAACATGCTGGTTTGGCTTAAGAATTAAAAGAAAACATTAAATCAAATGTCTTTCTGCGTTCATTGTGTGTTAAAAATATCACATGATTTTAGATACAAAACACTGACAACATGCGCTGCTGTTAATTATTAACTTTAAAACCTCACAACAACTTAACGGGCTGATGGCAGAGTGAATTCATCATGTTGGTTGATGTAATAGTTTAGATTGTTCTTGATGTTTGAAAAATGGCTCTTTAAACCTGCGAGTGGTGGATGTTTTGAGAAAATATGATTAATAAAAGAATCTGACAATTGTTTAGTGTTGTGGTCTAAAGTTCCACCAGAGCCGTACACTTGATAATTAGAAGTGCTGATGCAGAGGTCTTTTCCAGCTGGTTGTAGTTGAAGTAAACACGTAAGGTTAAGGTTTTGTAAAGAACATACGGACATCGGTCCAGAAAGACAACTATTGTCACCACCGCAATTCATTTCATGACCGACAGCAGTATGACCGGCGAAGTCCTTCCTGTGTTTCTCCAGCAGCTGATCCAGGTCCTGTAGATACGTAGTGAGGGCAGCTTGGATGACATGAACATAGTCCTTCGAACTGATGCCAGTCTTCTGATTCAGTCGAGCCTCATGGATCAACATCTGGACGTGGAAGGAGGCTCCGTTCACCCAGATCTTCAACCCACGGCTCCTCATCTGTCCGTCAAGCAGCAGGGAGTTTCTGAGGATGGTGAGATGGTTGCTCAGCTGTCTCTCCAGTCTCGCTAGTTCACCCTGTAGGTGTCGGTTATCAGTCAGGTACATCTGATGGCGCTTCACATACTCCGACACAGTGTCCCGGACTGCTGAGGCCTTCTCTTCACCAAATGCCTGCAGGAACTTGCTGTATGAATCATCAGAAGTTGCAACGTGGCTCTTCATGGAAATATCTATGATCATGGAAATCATCAATGCTCCGAGTCCAACAGCATTTGGGAATAAAGTCGAACTCAAACTAGATCCCAACTTCTCAACGTATTCTGGAATCTGATTGACCAGACCATCGGAGTAGGTCTGCAGCTCAGCGTTGGAGTTCAAACCAGAATACTTCAGCAGAGACCGGTCTAGGCCCACATCTGGAATGATACATGTTTCCCGTAAGGCTCTTTCATAAATATTGAGAGCACAGCTGTCATAAATCTCTTGTGAGTATTCACAGGAGCTTCCAGAGCCCATGTTTTCGACTGGAACCTGGAGACTCAAACAAAGCTGAGACGTACCCGAATTCACGCCAGAGAGCAATGAAATAGAATCCAGTCCCTCCCGTGTAACCAGGGTCACTCCACCAACAACCAATCAGGTCTCTGGAAAGTGAGGCGTGTTTATTGACTTCTGTCTAAAGTCCCAGTCCGTCCAGAGTCCAGATGTTTCGCAATAAAACCAAATATTTACCTGCACTAAAGACAGAGAAGCCACAAAATGTAAAAACCCAAGCTGGAAATGAATTCAGCCTTTTCTATTCATGTAATCTTTACATTTTATAGCTCTCATTGTTTCAGTCATGAGGCTCGACTGAATCAGAAGTGTTGCTTCATCTGAAGGATTCTCAGTACCGAACCAGAACAGAACAACGTCAGCTGCTGAAAAGTGGGTCACAACCCAGAAATCAGAAGCCGATATAACTGAACCGGAGGGAGAGGGAGGAGGAATGAGGAGAGAGTGAGGAGCAGCAGGAGCACTGGATGAGTGTTAAAGCAACAGATGAAACAAAGCTGAAACAAAGAGGAAGGTGTGAGAAGCCTTCTGTCTGCACTGCAGACCATGACGGAGGCAAAGTGCTGATGAAGTGTTGTGGGGGAGGACAGCTGACTCACCGAGGGGAGGGAGGGGTAAGGAGGAGCATCAGAGCTCCTCGTTGGCGTTATAAGAGCTGGAGCAGAGACCAGTCCACCGTGGACAGACCAGATCTGACCTCACGGACCAGTGACCGGCCCAACGCGCTGCTTCCCGTGAAACTCTTTACGATTCTGCCAAATCAAGTCTGTGGGCATCATTTGTAAATGGATGTCAGTGCTTCACAACTATGAAGGCGCTGATGTTGAGTGT